CCTAACAAATCATGTCTTGTCCAGTTCAGTGAAACCTATGGTCCTGTGATAACATTGTACCTGGGGTGGCAGCGGACGGTTGTTCTGGTAGGATATGATGCAGTGAAGGAGGCACTGGTGGACCAGGCAGACGACTTCACAGGCAGAGGGCCACTACCGTTCCTGCTCAAAGTTACCAAGGGCTACGGTAACACAAGACACTTCAAATCTATCATCTCTGTCTGTGATGGGAAAGGATATGGTGCCTGCATGTTTCTGCATCTACATGAGTTCCCACACATTTCCTTTTCTCAGGGCTGGGGATCAGTAATGGGGAGCGCTGGCGCCAGCTGCGACGTTTCACTCTGACAACCCTAAGAGACTTTGGGATGGGACGCAAGGGGATGGAGGAGTGGATCCAAGAAGAGAGCAAACACATGAGGGCACGCATTGATACATTCAAAGGTGTGTTTTCAGCTTTTTTTTTGTAAGAGCACATCATTTCATTTCACATCATCATGGAACTGATGTGAAAGAGGATTGTTGCCGAATCTGTCACATTAGGTTTACTTGCACAACCCTTAATCACAACTTCAGTCTGCAAACATTTTCTCATGCCTGTTTTTCAGTCTAGTAAGTGGTATGGGACCTACACTTGAGAACTAAGTGACAGAGAGTTAACATGTCCAGCAAAAAAATAATAATAAAAATTCCATTATGTTTGCAAAAGATGGGTGTGAAGGTTGACAGCCAAATGAAGCCTTACACTGAACAGACACACTTTGCAATCTTCATCCTGCTTGTTTCAGCTGCACTCATTAATCCTTCATCTCTTTCTGATGGCAGTTTGGCCAGAGTAAATACAAAATTTGTTACATAACATGCTAAAAGTCTGGAGCTTCATTCATAGACCTGACACTAAATACTAAATATCAGATAGGGCACTTTAAACTGCATTTTAATTTAAACAAAGAGCACGTGTGGTACATTGCCTCACAGAAGATGATCAATTATCCATGTGATTTATTAAAAAAAAAAAAAAAACGTGTGCTGAATGTTTTTTCAGCAACAACCATTTCCTCTGACACAATCCAAAGGAGGCTCTACTGAAACAGTGCACCAGCTGGCAGCAGGTGTATCAAACCTTCATTCTCACAGTTACAATACATGTAATTAAGGTTATGTAATGATCACCAGGTGGTTAAAAAACAACTTGGTGCTGTTTACGGAAAGATCAAAGTTAAAAGTTTTATCAGTTTTTCTTTTGGCATTTGACAAACATGTGAAGCAGATAAAAACACATTCTGAATAGATTTTATGATCTCTCAAAAATCCCTTCTTTCTTTAATAAATTTGTGCAACTGCATTTTCTTCTTCACCTTCAGCTACGTCATTTGACCCCACATTCTTGCTGAGCCGCACTGTGTCCAATGTGATCTGCTGCTTGGTGTTTGGACAACGCTTCAGTTATGAAGACAAGCAGTTCCTGCGCCTCCTCCACGTGATATCTGAGGTTGTAAGGTTCAATAGCAGCTCCTGGGGCCTGGTAAGTGGAGGTAGCAGCCAGAAAGTCAGAGTTTGGTGTTTTTTTTGTCTGGTTTTGAAAAAATGTCCTTACTGTACATCATCTTAAAGACATATTTCGACACACTAACACAATAAGCTTCTCAGTCTGTTATTTTTCCTGCTAGAGAGGAACTTGCTATCTAGCTGCTCACCTCACAACCAGGGCTGGGCAACATGTTATCTACGGCATTTTGGAATGACAACTCCAGCATACTAACATACTTCTACAATGTTATAATCTTCTGAGAAACAAAGCTGTAGTGGACTGTGTGCTTCCCTCTCCCAGATGTACAACATCTTTCCCTGGCTAATGGAGCATCTGCCCGGCCGCCACCAAACTATTTTTGCCAAAGTCAAGGAGATTAGAGAGTTTATACAGATGAAAATCCAAGAGCACAAAGAAACACTGGACCCCAGCTCCCCTAGAGACTACATTGACTGCTTCCTCATTCGAATGGATCAGGTTAGAAGAAGCTTCAGGGTCATTTGTTTTGTGTAGGGACCAGCACTGAGTAATGTAACTTTCTTCTGAAGGGTTTCATCATTAAACACCCTATGTCAGTCAATAGGTGCTAGGAATTTGTTATAGGTACAGCTTTTAATGATTTTATTTCAGGAATGAAATTGTTTATTTATTCAATTGATCCAATTATAAGGAAACAAAAGCCCAAGTGTCACCAGCTGCTTAAAGTTTATTTTGATACTTTGAATTCTGACTCTGTTGTCTGTCTGATAGTAGTATTACCTCTTTGTCCTCTCAGGAAAAGGACAATCCCACAACTGAGTTCCACTTTGACAACTTGGTGTCTACACTGATGAATCTGTTCGTGGCAGGAACAGAAACCACCAGCTCCACCATCAGATATGCCCTGAGTGTGCTCATCAAATACCCAGACATACAGGGTAGGTCCCCTAACAGAGGACACAGTCATCTCACAGTCACACTTGTGAAAGCATTATGTTCAAGAACTGAATAGGCCTCTAGATGCACCTGTCTAAAAACATTCATGATATAAGATATAAGTGGATTTACCAAAAAACAAAATCTTGTCTAGAGAAAATGCAGCATGAGATTGATACTGTGATTGGAAAAGGCCGTTGTCCCAACATGGAGGACAGGAAGTCCCTCCCCTTCACAGATGTGGTCATCCATGAAGTGCAGCGTTTTCTGGACATTGCCCCATTTAGCGTCCCTCACTACACACTCCATGACATCTCTTTCAGGGGCTACACTATCCCCAAGGTATTTTGAATTCATAGATTTCCAAGTTATCATATTCATTTGAGTAGCTATACCCCATAACACTGTAGAGATTACCAAAGTGCACTATTACACTAACATGATCTCATGTCTCAATAGGACACTGTGGTTATTCCCTTGCTGCACTCAGTGCTGAAGGAGGAAAAGCAATGGGCAACTCCCTATTCCTTTAACCCGCAGCACTTCCTGGACCAGAATGGCAACTTTAAGAAAAATCCTGCATTCTTGCCCTTTTCTGCAGGTAAAACACATTCCCAGTTAGCTAATAAATTACCAGTTGATGTGGATATTAATGCACTGGTAAGGTAAAACATCCTAACAGCGTTGTATACGTAAATGAGTTTTCCTTGATTATCTTATTCATGAGTATGGTTTGGCCAGTTATCTTGTCCTATCTCGCACATTGCACCTTTTTTTTTTGAACAGTGACAAGCGAGTATTTTTATAATACAGCACTTTGTTTGTGATTGTGTCTCCTTCCAGGAAAGAGAGCCTGTGTTGGCGAGTCTCTGGCTCGCATGGAGCTTTTTATCTTCCTGGTGTCTCTGCTGCAGCATTTCACCTTTTCCTGCACTGATGGCCCTGACAGTATGGACCTTATTCCAGAGTACAGCGGCTTTGCCAATATACCTCGCAGGTACCAGCTCATTGCCACGCCACGGCAAACAGAGTAGCTCAACTCAGAGTAGATCATTGCCTGAAGCATTCTGAGAACATCGACACAACATACAGTACAATGTTTTATTATCACACGGCAGTGTTTGTTTATGTTTGCTGTTACCTTGCTGATATAGCAGACAAGACCATCAGACTCAAAATCTAAGGAGCCACTTCTCCTGAAGCATAATTTTGAATCCTCTTCAAGTTTGTCGTTTCATATGTATTTTTCTCTTTGTGCATATTTTAATCAATTCCTGGTAGCTGTACTATTTACTTTCTTGTGAAACAAAAGATAAATGTTTTCTTTTATTACTAATAAAGTACTAATGTCAATAAACCACCTTTTCTAGAGGAAGAATTAACTCTACCTGTAAGAAGCTATTTGTTTTTTTGCTACATATTGTGTAACCACATAATTTGATTACACAATGAGGAGCAGACACTCCCTCTGGCCTTCAAAATAAAGTTGTAGTACTTAAAACATTTGCATGATACTGTGTGTGTACATCTTGGTGCACATTCCCTAAAACCTTGAAATAAACCAGCAACAAAGACTGTGTGAATATATAGAGTTGGAGTTGCTCTGGGTAACTGGCTTTTCAGGTCTTGCTCAGCTTTACACTCACTGGCCACTTTATTAGGTACACCTGTTCATTGACTCATTAATGCAAATATCTAATCAGCCGATCACATGGCAGCAACTCAGTGTGTTTATGCATGTACACATGGTCAAGATGATCTGCTGAAGTTCAAACCAAGCATCAGAATGCAGAGGAAAAGCGATTTAAGTGACCTTATACATGGTATGCTTGTTGATGCCAGACAGGCTGGTCTGAGTGTTTCAGAAACTGCTGTCTACTGGGATTTTTACACACAGCCAGAGAATGGTCTGAAAAAACAACATCTCCCTTCACTGCTACATTGATTAAATGGTCTGAAAAAACATCTCCCTTCACTGCTACATTGATTATACTCCGATTTATCCAGTAGACCTCTCTCCTCTCTCAGTCTTGCTAGGCAGATATTACACCGTGGATGGCAAGTATTTTTTAAATTATCATTATTGTTGTAATCACACAAGCTATTGCACCATACTGTGATTATGTTTTCCCTCTTATTAGAAAATTATGTAACTGCATCTTGTTGACAAATCTTCCTAACAGCATCATATGACTGTCATAGGAAACTGTCCGTTTAACTTTTTTCTTTTCTTTTTTAAGAAAAATGCATTAATCACACAATAAAACATGAAAAGTAGTTTCAAGAAACACTGAATGTTTTGTCCAGATTCCATCATTCACTTTTGACCAACCGTAGGACCCCAGAGGAGGACTCGCTGCTTTACCGTCCTTAGCACAGTGATGTATATTCAGGAGTGACTGTACGTGAGTAGTTTGATGAGCTCAAGATCGGGTGACGGGTCCAGTCAGGTGTCAGGCTGCCAGTGTGGTGATGCACGTTCCAGTGCATCACTGTCTGGTGTCTGAGCAACAGAGTGCATGTCCATGTCAGACTTTGGAGATCACTGTCAAAGACTGAGGCTGCAATGTCTTGAGAACCCATCAAAGTATCAGAGGTCATGGGGGGTTTTCTTAAACTTTAATAAAGCAGGAAGTTGCATGTCAAGTATACAGTATTATATATTATAATGTATTGTATTTTCAGTTCATTTTATAATACAAAATGTACACGTTTACTAAATCAAATATAAATTGCATGTATTAATTTTCATACTAATATAATAAAATGTGTCATAAATACGTGTAAAACAATATTTTCACTATCTTGATGAATAGATGAATCTTAACATGTAGTACATATTTTTAGCCACTAGAAACAAGAAAGCTCTTGTACTTTTCTCTAAGGAAGATGGCACACTGGTGACTTTTTAAATATTTCAATATTTTATGATTTATGATGATATTTTATTATGAGGTGAAAGTGATGTACCCATTGTGTTTGCTGCAATATGTCTTCAGCACTGACTGCACAAATGTGAATTCTTTGGTAAGTGCCCTAATCTGCAACTATAAATGCTCTAACTATTGTTGTGTAAAAAAATATGAGGTGAAAGTGATGACCGAATTTAAAATGTCTTTCTCATCCTCACACCATGAGTATGTGTCTCCAAGCAGGGCTGTATTCCACTGAGTGCACAAAGCATAGCACAATCCATAGTTCAGCCATAAACTTGTATTTGCTTTATTAAATGTTGGGCAGGTGATATTTATGCTTCACTTGTTTCTTGACATCTGGTGCTGGTGAGATGTTGTTGTTTGGTAACTGAGGCAGGTACTGAGCCTAGAGAGAAGGGGATTGGGGATCCCATGAGTAACCCAAGTGAACAACCTCCTGTACATGTCTATAACATTTATCATTATTACAATTATTGTTCATCAGGGTGACTAGTGGTCGTTTAAGTGATACTGCACCAATCTACAAGCTTTTCAGTAACATTGTACACAGTTACAATCTATGGAAAGAGTAAAGAAGTAGCTTGCTGGAAGCAGCTCTCACATCATTGACAATTCATATCTGAACAGTTTGAAACATTAAACATGTAGATACAGATGCTAACTCTTACCAGCCTCTTTCAAGCATACAGAGGTGAATTGTTTATATTAAAGAGGTAGATGTTGAGTGATGTATACAGTAATTGAATGACCCAGGTTTAAAGCAGGTTAAAAAATAACTCAAGGCTGTGTGTGGCTGTAGTAGAGTGCACAGTCTGTACACATAGGCTTGCTGGAATGATTTCTTAAGTCAAGTTTCATACTTACTCCTGCCTGTCTGCGTCGGAAGCCTTTGTCTTGTCGTCTTCCTGGGCGCTCACACTCACGGCCCCAGTTGCCTCCTCCCTCCTCCTGGAAGTAAGGCAGCTCTAGCAGCTCTTCACAGGACAGCCGGAGAGAGGGGTCCATCACCAGGCACGACTACTCGGACAAAGACAGACAGCGTTAACATGTAGAGTTTTCAAAGATATTTGGCATTTCAGAGCATTGACTTTGCCTTGACACAGAGCCATTATTTCATCTGGATTTGTCCGTGACACAGTAGCTGCAGGCCAATACTGGACTTTTAAAGCTGATACAATATCTCATTTTAAAGTGTTTAGTCAAATAATGTACAGCACTGAAACAGTTATCACATTTATGAAGGAGGATTTACTGCAGGACTGTTGGATCAGACTGTATTGGTATTAACTAGGTGAACCCACTAAACTGCCAACTGAGTGTGTGAGCCGTAACTTAAAATCTTCTGATAAAATTAGCCATGCTGGTGTTTCAGTCAGGGTCCGTTACACATCCAGTAAACATAACATACCTTCATAACCTGGAGGGCATGAGGAGACACTCCATGGAAGTGCCTTTCCAAGGGCTCCTATGAGCAAAAATAAATGGGAAATAATAATAACAACCTCTCCATTACAAACAATCATGCATGCATTCTCAGTGGTAACAGGATTCATACCGTTGCGTCAGGTTCAGGAATACTGACTCCACTGAAGAAAAGGTTGGAGCGGAAGACCTGCCGGTGACGAGGGATCAAATCACCTGATGTCAGAGATAAGATTATCCAAAATCTTCAGTACCAAACTTTGATCAGTGTGTATACTGGATATTTTGGAAAATGGTTTGCAAACCTCAAAATCTTTAAGAAACTATAAGAAAATGTTGCACTAAGATTTAAAACATCTGTAATCCACATCAAGATGTGGTGTTATCCCCTCAAGATAAAAGAACAATGCTTTCTGTCTCTTTTCTTCAAAAGTAAAGTTTACTTTATTTCAAGCACCCAATAATGTGGCCCCTTATAAAGTGTACCTAGAGTTTTCTGAATGAGGTAGAGCTGGTCAACATCAGACTTCCCAGGCCAGAGAGGATTCCCATGGAGCAGTTCTGCAAAGACACAGCCCAGGGCCCATACGTCCACAGGAGGCCCGTACTGAGTATCACCGACAAGCAGCTCAGGGGCCCGGTACCACCTGGTTGCTACGTAGTCTGTATAGTCATCCTCTGGTCCTGCTGAGTATACAACAAACAGAGGCTGAGACAGGTGTAAAGAACTTGTATGGACATACACTATACTGTATACGGTTAGATATTGAATAATAAATGCTAAATAACATATAAAGTGTAGAGGAAGGGATTACAAGGCATGCTGAATGACTACATGTTAATATATGGTAACATAACACAGAAACCTAAGGCGAGATGAGTCAACAGAGACACACTACACTGAGATGCACTAACTGGCTAAATGGTCCTCCTAAAACATTCACAGTGAGGAGCCCAACAGCAGGAACTGATATAGGCTCCATGATGAATAAGTCATTAGAGGTGCAATAACACTTAAATGCATATAAATCCAACGGCTCCCTGTATGACCTACTCAGAATGCGGGCAAAGCCAAAGTCGCAGAGCTTGATAACTCCGGTTTTGGTGAGGAGGATGTTCTCTGGCTTGACATCACGGTGGATGCACTGCAACATAAACGTTCAGGATCAGCGATTTAGGCAACAAGTCAGACAACCTTAGTAACACAGAAAGAGGCTTATATCAAGGCTCACATATTAGGAACTGACATGGAGGAACAATGGCAAAAAATGAGAAACCTCTAAACATTTTAATACTGAAACTGATTGTAGTGCATTTACTTGAACTTGATTCTTATTGGGGTAACTAAAGCCTTAACAAAGTCAGAGTTTGCTCACTGTGGAGTCATGCTTAATTTTAGTTAGACAAGTTAGAGCAGTTGTTCTTAAAGTTTGTGGTTTGAGGTTGTGCAAATTTATAATTCAAACCTCCTGCTCATAATCCAACCCACACCCTAGAGATGCCTGATGGACAAGTTTGATTCTCAGAAGCTTTCCAGTTTAATATTTTCAGCTTAAGATAGTTTTGCAACTGGTAAATTATTGTCATTATTGAAGAGCCGGAGATTACGAAAAGTGTTCCAACAACGCTGAAATAAAGTATCTCAAAACAATTATCAGATGCCAAATGTAAGTTGGCATATAAAATACAGACAAAATATTCTAAAATAAATCAAAACTAATATGAAGCTGTGGATCTCTCATCTTTTACAGTGTAAATACACTAGGAATGGATGGCTTCATGGCCAGAATGGAGAGGAGGAGACCAGTCAATGCACTGTTTATGTATGGCATGAGAGAGGTTCTAACAAAGTCACACTAACAAGCACAAACACAGTGGGAGAAAACACCAAGATAAATATATAGAAATATTCAATTAATTACCAGATGAAAAATATACTGACATTGTGCTTGTGACAGAAGTTAACCGCCTGCAGAGTCTGCCACACTATACTCTTCAGCTGAGCCTCAGGTACCCTACAGAAAACAAGAGACAAAAGAATATTGACTGCTGTAAGGGGACCTAAACACAACCTATTAACTAATCATGTTGTCCTCAGCTATTATTTCAGCAATTTCAAAAAAGAACTAGTGCTTTACACAGCCCTTTTGTCAACCAGGTAACCTTAGGCCTGTCTCTACCGGCAACAACGCCTTTGTTTTCAGGAGAAGCTAGCTAAAGTTTCTGTTGGACAGCCGTGTGGGAAAGTAAAAATGGTCAGACAGCAACTAGCCATCATGATTTAGTTTATATTATGACCACAGATTGCATAAGGAATGCTCAAATCAAGGACCAAGAGCAGACCAATTTTGTTAAAAATGTAAACATTTCATTTTAGACTTGACTGCTCCTCACTCACTCTACTGCCAGCATTCAACATCTTTAAAATCTCTTGGCAACAGTCTGGACTCGCTCTTTGCAGCTCACCCTGTTGCTTTCTGCTGCCCTTCTCTTGTAAACAGTACTCGCAACAAACAAATGTACACACAGTGAGTTAGATGGTAAACTACATGCTATACAGACGACTCCTTAAAAAGAGAGGCCCACTTTTGCAGCATTAAAAGTATTTAGATCCTGAACTTAAATAAAATTAACAGTATCACAAAGTAAAAAATATTCATTTACATGTAAAAGGCCTGTATTTAAAATTGTACTCAAGTAAATGTATTTTAAAGGCAAAATGTATTAAAGGGGCAGAAGTAAACATGCAACATAAAGGCCCCTATCAATGTTATATTAATATACAGTATATTATATTATATTATCTATCACTCATGTATTACAAGTAAGCCTCATTTTCATGTTGTGGCTGGGTGTGTGGAGTGGAAGCTACTTTTAACTAGTTACATACATGTGTGTAGTTTAGTCTTTAACAGTGCATCATGTTTTATTAACTGGCCATAATTTTTGTATGTAAATCTGCAAACTATTACCTAGAACTGCAGTAGAAGGTGTTAGGTAGCATAAAATAGAAGGACTCAAATTCCCCAAATTTGTACCTAACTACTGAACTTGAGGAAATGTGCTCAATTACTTTGGACCACTGCTCCTTTTATCATGAATTATTAGAGATGTCTCAACAAAATAGATGATGAAACACTTCTGAAGATAGAAAGTCTTTTAAAAAATATGGCCTTCAGTACAGCTCGCTGCCCTAATTCATAGGGAATCAGTTCATGTTCGAACCTTACTCAATGACACTCCAACAGAACTGACAGTTTCATGTCTAAACCTTTGCGTTGCACCCGACCTACCCTTGAGGGTGTTTGTCCAACTCATTTAGAACCGTCTGTTCACAGAACTCAAACACCAAGTGCAACCTTCTTTTCCTCCTGAAGACCTCCAGTAGGTTGACCAAATTGACATGTTTCAGCTGCTGCAGGACCAACGGAGAAGATGGACACTGTGTCAGCACAGCCCAAAATGCTGGGCCAAAATTTTAATGAAACCTAAGGAGGATCTAAAGTCTGCCCTGAATTTGACTGTTATTCAAAGCAGACTTAAAAGATTATTATTGTCTGCTGCCTCTTAATGTTTTGTTTATGATCTTTATTTTCACTACAATCAGATATGACTCCAAACCTGTTTAAACTTATTCTATTCAGTCTTTCAAATTACATTTCTTATTCTCAGTGAAACAACAACAACAACAACAACAACAATAATAATAATAATAATAATGGTGCCTTCCATGATAAAAACCTTAACAAAGTGACAACAGCACATACCAGTATCTTCTTACCTTCAGCAATCGTATTTCTCTCAATGCAATCTTCTTGATAACCGGGTCATCTTCAGATTCCACAAACTTCTTGATGGCAACTATCTGTCCAGTGTCTCTGTGTCTGCACTTGAACACCACTCCATAGGAACCCTCACCAATTTTGGCCAACTTCTCATATTTGTCCATTGGGCAGTTAGTAGCTGTCACCTGTCAAAAGGCACAAACACGTCACCAAAACGTAAGAATGTGTTGTTTCATCACACCACAAACAAAATAACGTTAGTGTTTTATGGCTTTTAAAAAAAGTTTTCAACCTTTGACACCTGCGAGAGAATTCCACAGTCTGTCTGTGCGTTGTAGACAAAACCAACACATGCAGTTTTTAATGTCAGCACGGTCAAAACACACACTCACCTGTCCAGAAACGGAAAGGGTCTTCATCGACAAGACAGCAAAGAGTCTGCGGATGATTTAAGTGAGTCTACCAAAGTGCGCAAAGCTGCATGGACTATATACGTGCGCGGCCACTTAACAACGCTATTATGGATTACTGTTACAGTAAAAATGTCAGAGGTCTCTCCACCTCTCTCTGCTATTACCGTTACTGTCCCGTCGTGCTGTGCGTCGCCACTACCTTGGTGACCACGTCTGGTTATTCTCTTCAGCACAGTCCGCTGAGTCACTGCACGTGTCCCTTTTCATAATGAAACGATGTCTCGTATATTCATAAACACAGAAATAACTGGCGGCTCATTATGATGTTTAACTTACCCCTTAGAAACTGCGCGGAAATAATCAACACGGCCCAACCACAGGACAGCAATTCACACACCTGGCTACGTAAGTTCAAACACGCACGTGAATATACATGAGTTGTAACCATAGAAACAGGGTGGACGCACCGGTCTAGCTAGTAGCCTAAATGACTAATTCTGCAGTAATTTAGTTTATTGGTCTTTTAAATAATGAGACGGAAGAAGAAGTTAAATCTCCTATCTTTGTGTTTACCTAAACTCTACCAAAGTATTTATAGTTGTGTACTAACTTTGAAGGTTAAAATTATACAGTATGGTTTATTTTAATATACTTGGCAGTATATAAAGTAATGTTTCTTACACATTTATAAAATATAGATCTAAAAGAATATGATAATATAGCATTGACAGCAGCTATTCAGCTGCTCAAAGAATACTTAAACTTTTTATGCTTTTAATAAATGTTTCTGTACTTGACTGCAGGACTTGTATTTTACAGTGGTGTATTGCTATTTTTAATATTATAATATAGAGTTTACACCAGTATAAGCAATTAATATATGCACTGTTCCAAATATAGTTTCAGAGAAAGCCTCATTCCACTTCTTGGTAATTTCACCATTAGGAGAAAATGTTGACTCTGCCACGGGTATGAAATGTGGACGGACCAGCTCTGATGTAGTATCCTGATCTCTTCTCTCTGTTTACTGTGAATGTTTTTAAACCCAGAGGCCTCTCTGGGCTTGGCTGGCTCAGAGACTCTGGCATTTGCCACAGTGCTAAGGGATACTCTGCAGAGTCACAGAGAGGATTATGACCTCACAGTGAATGATGGGAAAGCAGGCCATATTGCACTCTCGTGTTCAGAGACACACAGACACCTTGAGGTGCTGGCACTGAGGCCTTGTGGTGGACGGTATGAAATGTTCCGTGCCAGACTGGTAAGACGTGCTGGCTGTACAGCCAGCTAGGTATATGCAGCTTTTACATTTTTCTTTGTCTCAGACACCCTTAATTCCACAGTGTACATCTTGTTATAAAACAGTAAATATGTTTCTTATTGTAGATGTCACCAAATAGACGACTGCTGTGTTAATCAAGACACATGTAGTGTGCATTTGGGAAAATACACAGGTGTATAAAGAAAAAGATAGTAATAGTAATCCAAATATAAATATATATACTTAAACATGCAGCTTTAGGTTGATGACAGAGATGTAAACTCCAAATGTGCTGGTGTCCTATAGATGATATACCATCTTTGTCCATCAGGTGGCAGTGCACACCCACACAACAGGACAAGTTAAATAATGGCTGTTTGTTGACATTTGATACTCCCCTCGTTTTATACCAGCCCCCAATCATTAATAGTAATCGGGGACATAGTGCAGTTGGCACTGTGGGACAAACAGCCTTAATAATAATATAATAATAATAATAATTTGACTGATCATTGTTTTCGGTTCTATTATACTGGAGCTGGTATTTTAGGGGATTTTTGCCTTGAGTTTTCCCCTGTTGGATATCACCATTAATGCCAGTGTTAGATAATAGCTTACTTTTCATAACTGGAAAACAATAGGCACTCATGGACAAACCCTAAAAAATTCCAGGGCCAAAAACTAGAGCCTACAATAGATAATAAGTATCTTTACTTCCTTGTTGAACAATCTGTCAGACAGAGACAAATAGACTGAGACCATCGCCAGTTTGTTTTAGTCTAGCCTTCCTTTTGAAAATACACAATCCAACCTCTAAAATGCACTCAGGCCTGGACGGCACACCGCATGGTCCTGCCCTGTTGGCTCTTCATCCCTTGAAACTCACTGATCTAATTTTACTTTTGCCTGGCAGGCATTCACCTTGCAGCCACCAGGTAAATGTGGCAGTCAGTTGGCGAGACTTATTGCCATAGAAGGCTTGTTGACATGTCAGTCATCACTGCCTTGGTGGCAGACAGGCCAGAGAGTGTGAGAGATCTGGTGCCTCAGTCATTCAGCATATTCAACTCTTGACTTCCTGATGTGGACAGAAGGCAGGCAGTAGAGCTCTGTTAAACAACAGATGTTTTACACTGCGGCCGTTACCCTCATTTCCTGGGCGGAGAGCTCCTCGCTCTATTAGACAAGTAACAGGAACCAAAAAAGAAGCGTTAGAGAGAGAGAGGCAGAGCAAGAGAAGAGTTAGCTGAGCTCAGAGCTCCCACAAATCACTTTGTCACCAGCAAGTTCTGGCAACCACCAGGAGCAAGGGAGCACACAAGGAGAAAGGCTGAGGAGTGGAGAGTTAAACAGAGGTGTGAACAGAGAGTTGTGCCAGAGCAGACCGAAGGTGTGAAGAAGCTGTAGCCGGCATAAACAAGGTGATACTGATGGATGGATAGAGGGAAGAGAGACCAGAGACAAGACTGCAGTGTGGTTACCATCCAGGGTGAGCTAAGCGGTACTGCTTCTCCTACTACTGTTGTTGATACTGCTGCCGTCTGGATGGTGCATTCACTTAAAGAGAAGGTGTGTCAAGCTACACTTTTTTGTTACAGGAGGGTAGTGTTTGATTGACGGAAGGAAAGATTTGCTGTGTTTGCTGTCTTCTGACAGCATCTCCACTCGAACTGTTTTCAGCTCAACCTTGTAGGACTGAGAGCATACACTATCATATTTTTGTGTTTGAGAATGAAGACACAGATAGAGAGACAGCTGCGCTCAGTCTATGAAGTGGGCATCAGTCAGAGGTGTTGAAAGTCATTTCTAGTGAACTGCAGCTGTACACAGATCACATGCTGTTACTGCTAAAAGAGGTAGTCAGCGCGAAGAGAGATACAAGTTTGTCAGATGATTTTTTGAGCAGGGGCATTGTTTGATGACTGCATAAGTTTGTGAAGGTAAGATTTTTACTTTCATTCCCTTCACAGTGGATATTTGATTAGCCCTGAGCTGATTCAAAGCCCCTGGGAGTTTTATCTGGGCTGTAGAGGAAACCAGAGGTCATCTGATCAAACTTCAAAAATAGAGAAATAGGAAGGCCATTTTTTACACTTCAAGCACAGGATGTATCATTGTTGTTTTCTCTTCCTTACAGACATTTATAGTGGGTGTATTTGACATTACAGAGGTATTAGACATTGCATCCATGTACAGAACAGTTCTGAATGTTCTGTGAAAAGGCCTTGTGGGTCAACAAAGACAGGAAACAGTGGCAGCTGAAAAGTCAGTAGGTTGGACATACATAGAGTAATCTGCCAACACTGCTCTTCATTTAGCTGAGGGCTGTACAGCTGCCTTCACATTTGCTTGACTGTTTTTTTTCTGGCCATATAAAAAGATACTGCCTGGTGAACAATATAGCACTAAGATGACACATGGAGGTGTATACATTTGCTTCAAATAAGACAAGATCCAGTTTAATATTGCAGATGGAGGCTTGAAAAATATCTGACAAGTTTGACCGGTGAGTACAGAACCAGCTCTGTTCAGTGCGGAGGCTTGAAAAATATCACTGACAAGTTTGCCTGTGAGTACAGAACCAGCTCTGTTCAGTGTTGGTAGCTCTGAGTCTTAGGGGCACTGCCTGTGTGCAAGTTTTAATGGGTTCCTTTAGCATTTGAAAGCTCCTCTTTGAACTAACGTCAGTGTCTGAGTCAGAGGTTGGCTCTGTCTGCCCACTGGGGTTCTCTCCACCTGCTTCTATGCAAAGAAGACACAAATGTTAGGTGGTTTTCACAGCAGTAGCTAATAGGGGTGGCACCACTCTCCACACTGCTTTAATTGTTCTGCAGTCTGCAAACAACTTGCGTCACTCACACCTTTCCACGGAGTGATTCACTGTTCCCTAAGCATCCCTGTGCATTTCTGGTTGGAGGCAGGCAGAGAAAGACAAGAAGAGGGAAGACTTGTTGAGAACTATAGTGCATAAGTGGTTGCAAACTGTCAGGTTGGCACCATGAAGCTGGCGTTGTTGATGCTCATGGTTGTGTACACAATGGGCAACGTAAGTGGTATGTCTACATGTAAGACGCTGGACCTGGAGATGGTGAAGAAAAAGCGCATCGAGGCCATTAGGAGCCAGATCCTCAGCAAATTGCGTCTGCCAAAAGAGCCAAAAGAGTCAGATCAGTCTGAAGTCCAGCAAGCAATCCCTAGCTCCCTGCTGTCTCTCTACAACAGCACCATAGAGATACTGAAGGAAAAGGAGGCCAAGGACCCAACAAGCATCTCTACAGATCAGGAGGAGATGGACTACTTCTCCAAGGTGGCACACAAGTTCAACATGACCAGTGAGTAACTGACAACTCAAAACAGCACTACAGGAGTCATGTATTTTGTGCATGTGGGCCCCTGTTGTCAAGAATGAAAGCAGTTACTGATGACTTAACCAAAACACCAAGAATATCAAGGAATAGTATGACGGTGATTTATGACGCTATATTTACAAACACTTGAGGGTACACTGCTCAGGATAGACACGCAAAAATGGTTACTCTTCATTTAAATGGTCATTAATAGTTGCTAATGGCAGAGGAAACTCAATGAGTGCCCATTATAAGAACTACTATATTCAAAAACCAAATAATGTCTGAGCCACTGTGTTGTTCAAAACCAGTATGACTCTGTCATATTGCTCATGCACATTTCAGCATAAATAAGCCTTAAAGCAATCACTGAACTGACAGACTTAGAGGGTACAGCCCAAATTAATCAGCATTTGCCTGATAGCCACTGTCAATTCCAAGCTCGTCCATAAATTTCCTTAACATGTGTAGCCCTTATGATCTGCACCCAATACCTTCAGGCAGCTTCAAGAGTTCAGTGATCACAGGCGTTCAAAGTTACCAAACTTGTGTGTTGCATCTGGCCTGATGCTCTGTGTTACTTTCGTGTTATCCATGGCATTTTTACAGTTTGCCGCCTAGTATGTGCACGCTGTTTGTTCAGCCAAATGGTTTATGGCTATAATTGTGCAATGATGCTCAATTATGATAAACATATTTTTTTGGTTTGTTTCTTTGCTCCATTGTTCTCTACATGCCTATACTCCTCACCCTATCAGGCAGGCATCCACACTATCCCTCTTTTATCCACCACATCAAAAGAAAGCCTTGAGTGGATGGACGTGGCTCAGGAGTGTGCAGACCAAAGGCAGAACAAAGGAAGTTTCCAAATGAAGGGCATGATTTTGTTCTGCTTTGATGGAAATCAAAGAAAAGATGGAACATGGGAAGATGAGATGAGAGAAGATATGAAATGCACTGGTGCACCCTCATGTCATTTCATTCCCTTTTTCATTTTCTGTTTTTCCCTTTTCTCTATGTCCCTCAGGGACTGGGGATTTCCTGTAACTTGAGAATTGGGTTCTCCCTTGTTTATCTTGTCACTTGTTCTCCATCATATCTGTTTCTCTTTTTCCCTAACCAGTTTTCATTTCATTTTTGTTTTCTGGTGAATAACCTGTTTTGCTCTCTTTCTCTCTCGCTCCTGTCTCTTCTGGGTTTCCTGATCTTATTATCAGTGTGTTTGCAGCATGTTTGTGACAGGGCAGCTTGGCAGGAAGGAAGGCAGACTGATGGCCACTGAGAGCTTGAGTGACTCAAGTCCGGTGCAAGCAGTGCCCATGGGGAGCATGTGTTTCCTACCTCTGTGGAATGCCAGAGAACACCCATCTACTGTCCTAACTCTAAGTGCAGTTCCTTAAAACAGAGTCAATCTGTGCACACTGGGAAAGGGTGAACGCCAAGTGTATGCATGTATGTGTCTAGACCTAATAAGAACTGTTTTGCAATTATTTAAAAAAGCCACACACAGAGAGAAGAGGGGGTGTGGCAGAAAATCCATCTTCTGTTTCTTGGGAAGTAAAAGGCAGAGGCCTGTATTTGAACAGTACTGGAGGACTCACACTTCTCTGGTACCCCAAAACAGTCAACAGGGATGAGTATCTGTGTGTAGAGCATTTTGAAACCTAGAGAATGTGAAGTTGTCATCACGCTGTGGTGAATACTGGATAAATGCACCATTATGGAAGGATCACACTCATTATCCATCATAGAGATATACAATACTGTACATACATCTACATGTTCATTTAAAAAATAAATACTATCCTATATAGCTACATACATTAGTGGATACTTCAACTACATCCAAATGTGCACTTTGGTTTGAGCAGGGACAGGACAGAAATGGATTCATCTGCAGTGTTTATGTTATCTGCTGGCTAGCGTTAACTCCCAAAGTGAGAGCTGAGATTAGTTGTGCGGTGGATTAGATTAAATTTCATCTGTCAGTTAGCAGGCACATCCCTCCCTTGAAACCCACACAAATTTACCTCCTTCATTTAATATTAGTCCAAATGTAATTCATCACATTTGCAGAGGGAACTATTTTCTCCTTTGGAAACCAGCTGCTTTGTGACATTCAGGAGTAAAATGAGTTGGAGTAATTATTATATTAATCAGTAAATGAAGCTGCTACCATCCCACAGTGGAGAAGGGTAGCAGCAGAGCATGTGTAAAACAGGTTGAATCAGGGAAACAAGACAGTGATGAGGGGGATATGGGAGGGTGGTGCTGAGCATATCAAGGAGGCAGGTATTTAGCTTGTTGCTGGAATCTGCTTCTTCCCACTGGTAATTACAGAGCTGTCTCCCTGCCTGTCACAACAGCTGTCCCTGGCTTACCTGTGGATAGGCCTTGATTCAACACTCAAATCCCCCCCACACCCATGTTAGTATGCAGGTCAGGGTGATATCTTTGCCCCAATCTAGAAGAGAGAGGCCTTATGTCAGAAAAGTATGAAGAAATGTGACACTTTATTTCCTCAAAGTATTATATTCTGATAATTGGAAAGTAGAAGTGAGGACAACGCTTCACAGTAATTATGGTACTGCCACCAATAGGCTTCATAAGGGAAATGATTTAATTTCCTCTTTCGTAAACAGTTCTCTAACCTTTGACACATTTATCTCAGTTTACTTAAACAAACTGGAGACGCTGACTTTCCGTGCTTGGTGTTGTTTGGTACATCTTTGCCTGTTCACTGCTCTCCACATACTGCACATAGTTGTGACACTCTATATTTCTATTCAGGCACTTACAACCAAACATTTGACTCTGCTCTGGGTGGGACCAGTAAAATGTCATCTAATTTCCCTCCACACTCTACACGAGCACTTTTCAGTTTCAGTTTGCCTTCAAAACCGGGTGTGAAACACTACCTAAGCAGCAACACAGATGGTCATACTGGTAAATGATACACAAGCAGCCATAGCATGAAGGATCCTGGTACAGCTTACACTGACTAAGCTGTGCAAGAATGCAAAGCTGGGTTGTACTGTAGCTGCTGTCAAAAAGTAATTCCTGGACTTGAGAGCAGAGAATCCCGGCATTGGCAGGCTGAGGCACAGTAAAAGGTCTGGGCCTCAGCCAGAACCCTGGCTCCACTGATACACATCTCTAATTTCTCTGCACCCCCACTCACACCCCTCAAAATGATCAACTATATTCTTATGAATAAGGATATTTTTATTCTTCACTGTATTCTCTGCTTTTACCCTGTTACAGCTCACCCTCCTCTAAGTTTATGTTTCTACATTGAACTGTATCTCACTCTCAGTCATCTTCCTGTGCTTATCTTTGAACATCTCTATTTCATTTAATCTATGGTCATCTTTACAGCAGCTAGAATAGATTACTGTTTGTCTGCAGTTATTATTATTATTCAGCAACACTGTAAATGTGGCTGTTCAGTTTCATTAATGTGTGCACATGTATATGAAAAATGTTTTCATGAAGTTTATTTATGAAAGACAAAGTCCTAAACATTTGGATATTATGTTGTGTAGTAAACTACAGTGTTTCATGTGCAGCATTTAAATATAAAATAGGAAATGTTTGAATTAATGTTGAAAGTCATGTGGAAAAAAGGTTCACAGCTAAAACAATCCAAATTTTCTTATCTTAGAGCACCCATTTGTCCTACTGGGCCATTTGAAAACAACTCTATAACCATTAACACATTTATGTTCCACTAGATTAAAAAAAAATCATACCTACCTGTGACAAGAGATTTTGCAATAAAATGTTTACTGTATCTGTTGTAATTGTGGTTTGCCAACCATCAAAAACATGCCAGAGCAAAACGATCACCAGCTCAGCAGAGCTCCACCACCCCTCAAAGCCCACAAAACGGATTTATCTAACACGAAAACCTTTCAGTGCTGCTCCTGGCCCCCTCGCCCTATAATACTCATTTTTGTTCAGGAACCCAGAGGAAAATAAACAATAGTGAGAGAGGAGAGAAACAACACAGCTACACAAATGAAGAACAGTTTTTGCCTCTGATCCAAATTTGAGTGTTTTCATACATAGAATCCTAATTTGATATTTATATTTGCTTACCTAGCATATTTTCCTCAAACTGTACTCAGTGGTATTTTCTTTTATAGTTGTGAACATAATAACAAATTTTAAGGCTAAATATATACATATGTATATATATATGTGTGTGTATAGAAAGACCAAAGAAACATTTAAATTGCAGTTTCCCCTCAGTGTGGGTCCCCTTCTGTTTATAAGGCTGGTTTGAGGGATTAGATTATGGAATACTCAAAGGATCAGAAATTGATTTAGCATAATATGTATGCAAATCATAGTGTAGAATATTTCTGTTTTCCACAGGTCTCTGTAGTATGTATTTGTGTAACCTGATTGTTGGAAATGGTTGTTTCCAAATAAATAACTGTCCCTTTTTAAATCACGCTTCAAAAAATAACACAGAGCCCACCAAAAACTCAAAAAACATCACGATGTCCTTCAACATGACTGAGATACGGGGAAGTGTGGGGGACTACCTACTGCTGACCAGTGCAGAGCTGCGGATGCTCATCAAGAGAACTTCAATGCCTACTGAGCAGCGGGTGGAGCTGTATCATGGTCTGGGGCCCTCAACCCACTACCTCACTACCCGCTTCATCGGTAACTCCTTTAAAGACAACTGGCTGACCTTCGATGTCACCAAGATCCTGCAGGACTGGCTCAAAGAGACTGGTGAGATGCAACAGGCTAAATAAGCAGTGCAGTATATCTGTTAGTAATGCATGACCTCTGTCCCTCTGTTTACTTCAGCCCACATGAAATCTCAGGCATGATGGCATTCACCTTCACTCATAAAGCAGCCAACCACTTATGTTGTAAATTTCTGTCTTACCAGACAAGGAGCAGGGTTTCCAACTTCGGCTGTTTTGTGAATGCAACAGTGGCCAGCAGACAAGTGCTGAGAGTGCCTTCAATTTTCAAATCTCTGGGATTTCGGGCGATAGGGGAGACACAGCATCGATGGCACAGACGACACAGCAACCACCCTACATCCTGACCATGTCCATCCCTAAAAATATCAGTAGTCACCTCACCTCACGCAAAAAACGCTCCACAGACTCAAGGGATACATGTACCGCGTAAGTAATTCTGCAGATATCACATGGTTCTGTTGTATATTATTGCATTGACAATTTCAAAGTCGTGCTGTACAACCAAACCTGTTGACAGCTTCAAAAGGCAGTGACAGGTAAAAAATAAAACATTTCATTATTTCTACTATTCACACACACTGATACAAAGTGAAGCTGCCATTTGTACGCCGACAAAACGTGTGAATTCTCCTTGGTGCAGCTCTAAAACTAACAGGTTTTAAAAATGTAACTTCTGCAGTAGCTATGTTCTAAAAATCGCCTCATGTCATCCCATTATAAACCTCATTTCACAAAAGACTTTCCCCTCTTTTCTCGTATGCAGCCAGACAGAAAACTGCTGTGTGCGGAGCTTGTATATTGACTTCAGGAGAGATCTGGGCTGGAAGTGGATTCACAAGCCAACGGGCTACCATGCCAACTACTGCATGGGTTCCTGCACCTATGTCTGGAATGCTGAAAACAAATATTCTGAGGTATTGTGCAACACTTCACTGTAGTGTGCAATCCACATCTGATCACATGATTGAATAAGATACAGAACTTTGGCAGTTCAGATGAAAGCTTGATTTTCTTGCCCTCTGGTTAATGAGGGGCTGTTTGGATTCACACATCAGTAGTGTGGAACACATCAAGAAGTGAAGTCTGTGGTGTATGAAAGTCATAGCTTGTTCAGAGGGTTTAAATTAACAATAAAATGATAATAAACTACATCTGATAGATCATTCAATTAATTTATTAGGAAAAAACAAACATTTGCTGGTTCCAGCTTTTCAAATATGAGAATTTTCTGCTGCTAGTTAGACAAAAAAACTAAACTACACTAGAAGACCACCTTGGGCTAAGGGAAATTGTAATAGGTATTATCATAATTTTCTGACACTTTGTAGATTAAACAACTAAAGAATTCCTTAGAAAATTAGTTGCAGACCTAAGTCAAACTGACTGAACTTTTTTTTTTGGTCATGCTAGCCACATGGCTCTGGATAGCAATGCCAGTTTGTCGGTCAACCACACTGTTGAGCACTGAAATATCTCAGAACTGCTGTGGATTACCATGACATTTCTGGTGCCCTTTAGGGTGAATTATAATGTTTTTTTGTGAGCCCCTGTTTTTTCATTTAGCACCACTCTGTTCAAGATTCTAACTTGTATATATTTCCCATCAGCTGTGCTTTGTGTTTGTTGATAATTAGCAAATATTTGTAATAGCTAGCATGCTAAAACGGTTAATTAATATGGTGAATACTGTAAACAATATACCTGCTCAACACTGGTATTAACAGTGACAGAGCATTTAGCACAAAAAACCAAGTACAGTCTAGCAGAGCCACTGTTGCAGCTGTACATGGTCTGTGTGGGGTTAATTCAGTTAAGGTCACACATACAGTAACTAACATTTTGTGTCAAATGTATCTGAAAATCTAATTATTTATTGGAATGCATATATATCTGGGATCTTTATTCTTTTCAAAACTGAATAGCCTCTAAAAACATCACTTACTAAAGAATTTGCTGTACCTATAAATGAGAAAGCAAATAAATAACATGTAAAAATATTGTTCGACACAACAAAACCACACCTATACATTTTTAACAGTGTATCAATTGTTTTCAACACATCATGGCAGTGATGAAATTATGAAGTTATTTATTTTCTTGTTTACAGATTTTGGCCCTGTATATGCATCACAACCCAGGAGCCTCTGCCCAGCCCTGCTGTGTTCCTGATGTACTGGAGCCACTGCCAATCCTCTACTACTTGGGCAGGCAACACAAGGTATCTACTCCACATTCAAGTATCTGCGGTGAAATGCTTACAGAACATTTTATGTGAAAGGAACATTTACAAATGATTCATCACATCACTTCTGATTTTTACTTTCAGGTGGAGCAGCTGTCCAATATGATTGTGAAGTCTTGCAAGTGTAGCTAAAAATACAACATGGCACACTGCTCTACCTCCCCTTAAACATGTACACTGATGGACGAAATTGATGCAAGAAACTGTATGAGACTACAGACAGGAGCAGGCAAAGGAGAGGACAAGAAGAATGTGGGCAAGGGGAGCAAAGAATCTTTGTGGTCAAACTTTCCTCCTGCAAGCTCTACGATGATCATGATGGAAGCACATCAAACCACGGACTTATTTATATAGATGTTATAGATCATGTTTTTTTTATGTGCCTATACTTTTTCTCTGCAGTACTAAAATATCTGTAATGAAATGAATTAATTTATTTGTTGTATGGACAGATTTATAAAGACGTGATATACACGTAAAACTGTGCCAGTTCGAAATGGAAAAGGATTAAAATGACCTATTAAAAAAAAAAAAGTGGCTAAAGGACCAAATTGACCTTAACAGAAGAACACTTTCATTTTCACACGTTTTTTTGGGACATGTCTGTTACATCACCTTCCAAAGAGGTCATGGTTAAAGGTGCTAAATCCCAGGTACGGAAAGCAGTGGTTGTTGGGGTTTTCCTGGGGGCGTATCTCCTTTGAGCTACACAGTAAAGGAGAGCAGGCAACCACAGGGATGGTCCATCCTAAGGAAACTCCCTCTGACTGAAAGGCTGCAACCAGGCCAACCAACACTTTACCAAAACCATCCATCAGTTTTACTGTACCTGCTTTGTTTGTTTTTTCAACTCATGTCATTTTAATTAAGTTATTTCCTCAGGCTTTGTTGGCCTTTATGTTAATCAGTGGGTTGTGGAGAGGCAGGCAGGAAACGGGAAACAGAGACCTGTCAGCAGTCAGAGTCCAACCACTGACATTGTGAACCCAAAAGGAGTATGGGGTGCACTGTGCTGTAACCACTTGGCTACAGGGTGCCCCATAACCCATATTGTTTTTACAATGCTTTTTTTGTGTGTTCATGAACTGAATCTCAGTGTGTCATTATGAAGCCTCACAGGCTGCTAAAGCTACGTGTAATAGTAAGGTTTTAGGAGTGATCACACTGTTTTTTGGGATTTTCAGCCAACTAGTTGTCTTTAGATTGTGAAGGTCTGGGGATGTGGTTGTGGGGTTAGTTTTAGGGAAGAGCCATTCATACTCAATCCACACATTTACTGTTTTTTTTATGCCCTAGTTAATTATGGGTAATTGCCTTTTTAATTTTGTGTCATTTTTTACAGTAGTTTAATCTTTTTCCACAACTCAAGAATTTATTCAGCTGTTGATTTGTTATAAAACTAAAATCAACACATTTTTCCAGTCTACCATATTTTTATAGTGCACTTACAATTAGAAATTTGTATTTGTAAATATTTACATGTTTTGAAATAAACATTGATGTTAAATTATCACATCAGTGGAATATTTTGTGAGCAGAGTAAAACCTCATATGATGTTTCCGCTTGTCAGAGGTGTAGGTGTGTGTGTATTGTGCTTGTCAGTGTGTATGTGTGTGTTTAAATTACGGTATGGGGTAGAAAAACATTTTATAAAATGAACACAAACTGAAACACATAAAAACATGAATAAAAGGTTTTACATCATGTATCTTGTTGGTTTTATAAATGTTTTTGGTCTATGAATGGTAATGACTGCACTTAGGTACAAGGCCTCCACCTCCACACACTTCTTACATGTTTTCTGTATAAGACTTCTAATAAAGTCTATCTCATGTAATTTTTGGTGATGTGAGTTTACCTCTCTCAGCATGCAGAGAGCATGCATGATGCTGCTTTCAGCAAATTTAATAAAACCAGTTTAGCACTGACCAGGGTCAAGTGAAAGATCTACCAGCTGAAAGGTCTGACATATGCCAGGTGCCTGTCTATTAAGTCAACATCAGAATACACACAATCCTGTTCTTGGCACTGTCTATACCCGAAGGGATGCACACTGTACCAATATTTTCTTACTATCTCTGTGCAGCTCATCCTCCCCCACCCTCAGCCCCATGCCTCTCCCTCAGTACTCAAGGGATTACTGGCATCTCACGCGGATGAATTGGGAGAGCAGGTCCAGACTCGTTGGTAAGTCCCAGACTTAAGGGCAATGACTACATGGAAAATTAAACACACATACTGCACACATGCACATGCAAACACTGAACCCACTGACACACAGTCACAGCTCAAGCACATCAGTGTCAAATGCCTTAATTTTGATTTGATTTTGATTTGATTTGATTTATTCTTTCAAGCATGTAAAGACAGTTGATATGTCAACACACATAATTTTACACATATCCAACAAATGCTAATCCAATATCAATGTGCTTATACCTAGTACATGCTTGAATGGAGTAGGAAGAAGTCAGACTTATCCAGTCCTACCCCATGAATACAGCAGACAAGAAGGATCTAATGGTACTTACTGATCTCTGGTCAGGTTCAGGTGATGAGCCCTTCTCTGCAATTCTTCTCCTGTAAGACAGAGTCCAGAATTATTTCTGAAAAACAGTTGCTATTTTTAAAAACATATCATCATGTTTAATGTTAATACATAAGCTTTGTACTAGTGAGTGGTGTGGGGGATGCTGGTGCTGCTAACAAGGTGACAGTGATCTGTGCTATCTTGTTCCAGTGCTGGTCATGTTACCCAGGGTTCTTTCAGAAAGCACAAGAATTTTCCTCTTGTGAGCCAACACAGAGTGTTTGTTTAGAAAGTGTTCTTTAAAGGCAGATAAAGTGAAATGAAACATCAAGATAACTGAATTCTTTTTTGTTTCACCTCTCAAAATGATTAAGACAGCTCTTTTGCCAGGTCTTCATTTTTAATGGTTCCGACGCACAATGTGCACATGTTGTCTTGGCAAGGCAAATGTAATTTTCTTTTTTTCCTTCCATGATGACTGGACCATTACCTATAAAGGCAAAACATGCCCTGTGCTAGAAAAAAACATGATCATTAAAATTAGCTTTCTAAAAATTCCAGCTTTTCCATCTGTTATAATTTCCCCAAACAAGAGGTATGTATGTCAAGCAACTCATAAATCAATCATGGTGTTAATGGAACAGTCCCAGAGGGAAGTAAACTCAAGTAGGCTTGTCAGCAGCTGCTTCCTTTTGAGCCCTCTGGCTTCTTATGGGACTGAAATAAACTGCTGACACCTCGTTTCACAAACTGAAGCACATCCGAGAAAACACTGAGAAAAAAGAGGGCACTTAAATTCACTGTACTATGTACATGTGTTATACAAGAGACTATAAAGACAGATACCTGCATCATTTCAAGGTCAAACAGGTGTTCTTTTATCACTAATGCAATCTGCATGCTGAGCTTATACAACTGCATGAGTAACAAGAAAACTGTTGTGTTGTTGCACTTCATCAGAGCTAATAGGTCAGTCACAGGCCCTTTAACTGCTTCCATGTGTTATGTCTTCTTTTATCTACAAATGAAAGAATCTGATTCAAGCATGGTCACCTGAAACATATTCTCTCCGTAGCACTTTTACAAGTGAAAAAACATACAAAACCAAACATGTTAAATGTAAGCTGATTTGCCACATGTCTTGAAATGTTATTTTGGGCTGTCTTATTACTGTATAACATCTAGGACATTTGCAATTATATGTCCACTGATCTCTTGCCACAGCTGGTCATTAAAAGTGGAGCAGTGAAACAGCCTGGTGTTATTCCTGTGGACTCAGACTGTGACCTTAATAACACACCCTGGTGTCCTGCTGCTACTCAGCTCTGCTTCACAAACACACAGCTGCTCAAAGCCATTGTTGCTTCAGGTGCTGAATCTGTGTCCATACACACACACATGTACATATATCAATAAACATGCTTTCCTATTCTCATGTAATGCTTTGTGTTTTGAAGTTTTTCTATTTTATTTTCTATTTTGATTGCAGGCTTCATTTCACATTAAGACTATATAATGATTGAACATGGGTTGTTTAACTGACTGTGAGAAGGCAGCACTGCTGAATATGCACCTCTCCACCTGTCCTGTCGTTACTCTCATCCCTCTCACTTCACACACCTGCAGTTTAAGCCGAGATGGTTATCACAGTCTGAGTCACCCACTCTGGCTCTGTCTCTTCCTTTTTTCTCATTTCCCCTGTCATCATTTTTATATTCCTTGTCAGTTCTTTGAATACTCCCTGGCATTTTGAGTTATCACCTGAACTAAACAACAAGGCTAGTGATAGGGGAAGAAAACAAATATAGATGAGAGAATGAATGAGGGAGTGAAAGAATAAAAGACCACACGCATCTGCCTGGAAAACATTTAGCTGAAAGTGTTAGCATCAGTGTCTACAAAATAAAAATGAACTGGAGAAAAATAACATATTTCCTTTGTCATGGACATAACCAGAAGCTAACATCATAGTTTAACACATGGAGGATCAAAGACAGAGGAGAAACTCAAGCCCTCTTCAAAGTGAGAACTACAAAGGGAAAATATGATAAACCATATGAGAGTGCCTGAGTGTGGTTATAATGTATGAGGCGCTGTGACTCATTTGTTGGACCTCAGTAAGTAAGAAATGCTTTCTAAAAAAGGAAAGGTACCAATTACATCTCTGGACTGGCTCCTTCCTACAGTACCACCCCTCCTTTTCCTTCATTCTCAGAGTCTTTACCTTGCTGTCCTTGGATGCAGAGGGAGAAATCTGCCTCTATAAACAGCTACGGTCTCCCTGAATAATAAACAGAGGAGAGGATCTGACACTGGCCTCAACAACGATCTACGCAGAGGAGAGGCAGCCCCTAAATAGCAGTTTGGTCCTACAACTCTGACAGAAGATTGAACCCTAGTGGGTGATGGTGAAGGCAGGAAGGAAGGAGAATTGATGGGGGTTGAGATTTGGGGGTCTCATAATTCCCCTATGCAGACATTAGCTAAGGTCTATTATACCAACATCTGTAACAAACTGTTTTCATGACAAACTGGTTTTGTAAAAATCTGTCTGGGGTTTAGCACTGGCTTGTAAACTTTGAATCAATACTGACAACAATTTTA